TAGAGGGAGGGTGGAGGGGGGGATGAGAAGAGCACAGGGAGGGTGGGTGAGTGTGAGAAGAGACCGCTAGGGGAGGGTGGGGGAGAGGAGAGACCACTAAGGTGCAGGGGAGAGCTCTACGGGACAGAAGGGGCAGCTCTATAGGACAGGGGCCAAGACAGGGAGCTCTTTCACACCGCGCGCACACACACACACACACACAATGCATCCCTATACATACACAGAAACACAACATGCTTCCTTTACACACAGAGAAACACACAATGCATCCATTACACACACACACACAATGCAACCCTTACACACAAAGACAATGCATCCTTTGCACACATACACAGAAACAGACAATGCAAACCCGTACACACGCATGCAAACACACACACTTCTTTTCTTACATACACACAGAAACACAATGCATCTCTTACACTCAATGCACACACATACAGACACACACTTGCATCCCTTATGCATACAAACACAGATTCACACAATGCATCCCTTACACACAACCAGAAACACATAATACATCCCTTATACACAAATACACACTGCTTCCACTACACACAAACACACTACATTACCTGCACAAACTGGTAACCCTATACACTACATACCATAAGCACACATATTAGATCCTCTACAATAACACATAACACATCCCCTACACACTCCACTCCCTGTGAGCGAACTCATGGGTGGGTGGAACTTATGAGTGGGCCATATGGGCATACTCACCGTCAGGCCCTGGGGCCCAGAACTTGAGCTGTGTAAGGGGCCCCAAAAAATGGAGCTGCTTCCAATTCTCCCAGAACATTGAATTTTGTGACCACAGCTGCAAACAGCCTCCAGAGATCCTGTTCTACACCAGACCAGTGGAGCCAAACTGCAGCCCATCATCATCCTCATCTGCTTGTAAGTAGGCAATCTAGTATATTATTAGTGACACTAATCTATAATGTACCTCACATTAAAGGGACACTATAGCTTAATGAAGTGGTTCTGGTGTCTATAGCTGGTCCCTGCAGGCTTTTTAATGTAAACACACACTGTGTGCAGCACTGGCGTTAGTTCATATGGGTGGGGCATTGTGATGTCACATGGGGGCAGCAAATTTTTATTTTGTCTAGGGCGGCAAAAATCCTTGCACCGGCACTGATCCTGGGCAGGTGCACCAGTCTACTGGTGACCCACAGGAGGGGAGTGCACTGATTGCACTGCACTCTCCTCCTGTCCAGCCCCATCATTACCACAGTGCAAGTGCCCTCTGCCCCTAATTTACAGTGGTCACACTCACAACAAGCAGTGCCTGGAGCCGTGAAGGAGCGGGTATGGCAAAGAGCTACTGATTAGCATAACATCAATATCCGTTATAAAACTAGGAAAAGGTGGGCATGGATGGTGAACTGATTTGGTGGTGCAATGGGCCACTTGACTGGTTTTGCCCCCCCAGGCCTAAGGCTGCCAGCCCTCCCCTGGCAGTGACTATACGTCACCGTCAGTCTTCAGAACATGGCGGTGGTCTGGAAAGAGGAATCAAGGAATGAAAAGTGAGCAAAAAAGGGATAAAGGATAAAAGGAACAAAAAAAATATAATTTGGGGGGGCATTTGGAAAACAGAGAGTTGGGGGGGGGGGCTGAAAAAAAAGCGTAAGGCTATGACAGAGCCGTTTTAAAGTAACCGGAAAACCGAAATGCATTTAGCTCTGCTGAAGTTTTTTAAATTCTTCTTAATAAAATGCTTTTTATGTGATATAGTGTCCTCTAGAGAACTGGTTTTATATATTTGATTATTTTAATTGTAAAAGCAATTTAATAAAAAAAACCTGCCTGCAGTTATTAGACACTGGGAGCATTTGACAGATTCCTTTGAACATTTTTTCTCTCTTCTTTCTAACATCTTTTAGCTACATTTTCAAAGGCGTATTGAAGATTTCCCCCTTTTTGCTGCGCTGCTTCAGTAACCGCATGTTTAGAAACCAGGGGGACAAATTCATGTCAGAGTTTTGAAGGTTTTGTCGAAGCTTTCATGTGGATTCACCAGCATGGCTGGATTTTTGGGGTGATAAAAGGTTGGTTTAGGTGTCAAGATGAGGGGTGTTATGTATGGTGAACGGCCGATGTGTGACCACCTCATATGTGACTAGTAAACTATACAGTCCTTTAAATGACTTTACAATTTTCTTTCTTTTTTGTTTTGCTAAACTATAACTTCATCGATATCTGTGTGACTCACAGTGTTAGGACAGCTTGCTTGCTTCGCACTATTGGTGATGTCCTGCTGGTGATAAAAATGCATGTTGCTTTAAACTGATTTCACTTTCAGAATTTTTTGGGTGAAAAAATTCTACTTTTATTAATCTTCTAAGAACCAAGAGATTTACCAAATCACAATAGATCGGGACATGCCTAACACATAATTAGTGCCTAGGAGGTCAAATAAAATTTAGCAGAGTTTTAACTGCATGGAAACAATGTGCATTAAAGCCTGACCATTGCTCTGGAAATCTATTGAGAGAATGGTGTAAATGTCACTGGCTGGCTTAGTCTGCTGTAGATCTTCAAGCGAGCCATTCTACCTCTCCGTGAAATTGTGTGATTACGAAGTGAAGTAGAGGTATGCCACCGAGACGCTAGGTGAGGTGACGGATATAATATTTTATACAGCAGTTTAAATAAGTGGAGTCTAACAAATCTGACTTTCAGATAAAAACATGAATTTTCAGTATCTGACTTTCTCTGAACCTAAGAGCAGCCAAATCGAAATTTAGTAAAGATAATAAAAGTCTTGCATTCCTCATCAACAAAGCAAAACACGTATCCAGCCTTCACAATTTTTAAACTGAGTGATTTATTTCTAAAATATTTTTAATAGCACATCCCACTTAATTTGTCCATTAAACGGAGTGGATCCATCATAAACTTGATATAGAATCAGAAAAACACTTTCTGATGACACTTTCTCAACATCTGGAAAAACAATTTAATCTTGTATGTCTTAAAAATGTTAAGCACACTTTCAAAATTACAATTAAATACATTAATAAACTCATTGGAAGAGCAAGAAATGGCAGCATACCACATAAGCAAATCTGGCATTCTAACTTTTCCGAAAGTCGATTTTCATAAGGATCGGCCAGTTCATAGGCTGACCTGTTGATCCTCATGGTAGCTGAAGTCCACAGTACGCAGTAGACCATCATTAGCTTGTCTCTGCCATATACCGGAAGCTCACTGACGCAATAACTCATATTGCTAAATTTACAGTTGGCTTAACATAGCTCTGCAAAGTTTACAAGTCGTAACCGAACATTAATGTTGAAATGAAAAGCAAACGTGTCTCCCTGTGTGTTGCTGAAGTTAATATGATATATTTCTTCCAGTAAATACTGCTGGTAAAAAATGAGTCTGTCATAAAATTTTGTATAACTTTACAATGCAAACGTTAGTAGTGTAGTCTAAGTTTTAGCTTCATATAGGCGCCAGTTTGCAAAAAATTCCACTTTTATGACTTTTTGTCTTGTCTTGGTATGAAGAATCTCTACTTGGCTGAGTTTGCCATTATTATCTCGTCAGCCTTAATTTAACTTAAAGGGACACTACAGGCACCCAGACCACTTCTGCCCATTGGGGTGGTCTGGGTGCCAACTCCAACCACCCTTAACCCTGCAAGTGTAATTATTGCAGTTTTTATAACCTGCAATAATTACCTTGCAGGTTTAAATCCTCCTCTAGTGGCTGTCTATCAAACAGCCACTTGAGGGACTTCCGTGTTCTTAGAACATGAAAAGTGTTTTAAATGACGCTGGACGCCCCCACGCTATGCATGAAGACCTCCAGCGTCCCCATAGGAAAGCATTAGGTCTCCCCTGCCGGCTGAAGTCGGCCGGGGAGGACCGTGGGCGGAGACTGACCGAGTGCTGAGCGACATCAGCGCTGGATTCAGGTAAGTCACTGTAGGAGTTTTAACCCCTTCAGCAACGTGTGATGGGGGGTGGGAAGGAGAGGGGCACTGCAAGGTCCTGGCACTGCAGAGTCCCTTTAAATATGTATTATTTTTAAAACGTTGATTTGCATCTTTTGGATTTATAAAAATAGATAACAAGAAACCCGATCTACATCCTTTAATGTCCCATGATCCTTTACGTGTTCTACAAGATGACATACAAGGAAATTACAGAATCTGTGTTTGTCTTGAGTACTAGAATTTTGTCAGTTCCCTTTGCCTGGAAATAATACGTCTAGGACAGGTTTAGGTAACCTTCAGCACTCAAGATGTTGTGGTCTACATCTTTCCTGATACTTTGCCAAAGGTTTCCTACCCATGGACTAGGGACAGGAAGAGAGCAGTGTCTCCTATATAGATCATGGGAATGTTTAAAAGGGGGTGGGGTTTCAGAAGGATGGAAAAAGGCAGAATTATAAGCCAGTCCCTTGAGGATCCAGTCACATAGACACCGGATATAGTTATGGGGACATAACTAGATGGGTATTTCCACAAACTCCTACAACCACAACCAAAGAACAAAATAATACAGTGCTCAAACTATGTTATCTCCATGCATGTGTGCACTCTTGTAATTTAATGAGTAGATCTTAAATATAAGCATTTACTAGCTTTGTTTTAATATATGTCATAATTTTAACACCCTGTTATGACTTGTTTGTTCGGTTGGAATCCATTGTAGATAAAAGTACAGTATCAAAAGTACGTATCGGATCTTCTGAAGTGTAACAAGGTCTCACTCTACTCTTATTGGAAGTGTAACATATTCATGTATCTCATTTATTCTTCCATAGAGCTTTAACTCTGACATACTACACTATCATTTTATTTTTCCTTGCCATGTATCCTGTTACCCAGGAAGATCTGACGTCACGATAATTTAAGTACTCGCTTTACTTGCGCATCGTTTTTTTTGCATTATTATTTTTACAACCGGTTATTTGCAGGGCACATAACAATGTTCTTTCTAACCTCCCCTTTAAGTAGTGTACGTGGTGTTTTTGAATAAAGAGGGATTAGTCACAAACAAATTGATGTTCATCTTTAAAGCATCTGTGTCACCTGGAGCATATATTACTCAACCGAACTTGAAAATCTGTTAGTATGTTGTGTTAACATTTTTTTAAAATTCCTCAGCTATTTTTTGCATTGTGTCTATTCATCTAAACCACCTCTTATTTCTTTAATTAGAGACAATAACAAAACACATTACAAAAATATAAAAACAGCAGCAAGACAGGAAGTGTAGGTAAGATGCATGAGGGGTAGTATCTTTTCAGCATTTGAAACAGGAAATGAAAATGGAAATGTGTTATTAATTAAAAATAAATAAATAAATAGATAAATCCTGAACGAGTGCCTAATATACAAAATGTATTTAGAATCGTGCGTAAAAATGTGTGTTTTACCAGCTCGGAATGTTGGAAGCTGTACATATAGCACTGCAGCTGTAAGGTACGGACTGAGATGGAGAAAATATTCAACCAGATTTCTTTTATTTTGTTACTAGATTTTTAATTTACTATAAGGATACTTCCATTGTTACTTATAGTTTACTACTGTAATATTTTGAACTTGATGTTACATGATGTAGTTATTAATAATCTGGCTGATAGGATTTTGGTTGCCAAATACCCTGCCACTCAAATCTGTAAATGCCTTTTAAGTAACTGTTTTATCTATCTTCATTAGCCCCAGGTCACCATACATCCCTGCAAGAAGGTCTTTTAATTTTTCTCGGCTCTACCCACCCACCCTGGTTCCTTCTAACTATATAGCTATATGATTGATTGATTGGCAGGCAGTCTCCCGTGTATTCACACCAGGCTGATTGACCAGTAATACAGATGGAGCTGCCCCCTTTCTGGGTGGATCTCCTTCTTTGGACAGAGCCAATGACACAATCCCTTCACTGATCCACCCCTTTATGCCCTCCCATTGCTGTCGAACGTCTCAGGACACTTGGTTTGGGAGGCATGCATTAGCTATACCAATACAGGAGTGATGGGCTAATGGTCAGCGAACATTTGTAGCCCACCACTGCCACCCATCATTGGTTGGGCTAATGCAAAAGCATTCACTGCTAAGAGAAGTTAAGGCCGGATCACAAAAGGCAGGGGGATATTGAAATTACTAAATTAGATAGGATATAGTGCTAACCAGCAGAGATAAGAGAGATTGAGAGAGAATAATAAAATCAACATAAATTTCAAAACGCTCAAAAAACCACTAATTTTTCTTCCACAATTTTAATACAGATTTCATATCCTCACTATTTATTTACCCCATATTTACAAAGTCAGGAAACCGTCCCTCGCTTGATTCCACAATGATCTCTTCTTAGGGTTAAAAGGTTCAGAACTGAAGGCTATAAACCCCCTGACGCAGAACATTTCCACATCATGCTCATCGGATGCAACTTGACAATAAAAAGCATCCTCGATCTGTTTTAATTCACGGCCCGCGGTAAGTCTGGCTTCCCCATCAGTCTAAGAGCATGGCTACAGTGCTGGTGGCTTGTTTGCACAGACACAAACATTCATCACTGATATAAAGTTTAAATGCTCATTGCAAGTGGTTTAAAGGGCTTTATCTGCATCGATAAATCATCCTAATTGCCCAGCCCAGGAGAGAAGTGGGGTTGTCAGCATGCAAATAATATAAAGAACTGACAAACAGAGCATCACAAATGTTTCGAAGCTGAGGAGCAAGTTACGGAAACCTTCTTCAACACCTTCAAGAAGATTTTATTGAGAAAATATCAAATACATCCAGAAGCATGAAGTTTCATTGGGATATTTTATGGGTGAAATGTTGATGAATTACACAGAGAAAAGGATGAAGAATGAGCGAAGGGGCTAAGGTCTAAATGTTAAATGAGAACAAACATGACAGATATAAAGCTGTTATGGGAAGCCTCTGAGTGATGCCCCTCCACCCATGATATTAGTTCCGCTTGTGGAACTCCGTGGAACGCATAATCATCCGTTTCGATGTCACAAATCAATACACATTTAAAACACTTAATGAGACAGTTATGCCTAAGGATTTATTCATTGTTGCCTGACTCAAAACATCATCTTGACTGGTCCCCACAAATATTGGTGATATCACTATATCTATCTAAATATCTATCTAGAAGAGTGCAATTCTTTTCAAATATTTTTATTGATTTTTTTTTAAGATTAATATATATAATAACAAAAGATACTTTAGCACTACAATCAAAGAGGGGAATATAAATGTATGTTTGCATCCATTGATATGTCATATAATATTGCAAGTCAAAATGAACATGTCAATAATAATAAAAATATTTTAGAAAGAGATGATCGTCTTTGAGGTTGTTTATGTTAACGTATTAAAAAATGAATATCAAAGTTAAAAGAAATTAAAACAAAGGTCTGTTTGGGTGGAAGTCAAGGAGAAACATTGTATTGATGTCTAATGTTCTCTTCCCACACAGCCCATTCATGTTTTAGAAGAGATACGTTATCAGAGGGTATGCAGAGTGGTAGCTCACAATTCTTACTTTCAAAAACTGATTTAAGAACTTCGCTAATAGTTGGTATGATAGTTGACTTCCAGTGTTGGGGGATTACAGAGGTGGCAGATATGAGGGTGGCCTAACATAATAATCTTATTTTTTGACAAGTAATGAGGGAATTTCTTAACTATACATAGTTCCGGTGATAGGGCTACATTATGATCGATTATAGAAATAACCAGTCGATGAACATCCTTCCAAAATTTGTCTAGTTTGGGATAGGACCAAAAAATATGATAGAGTGTGCCTACCTGACCACATGTCCTCCAGCATGCATTAGTATTTGACAATTTTAGTTTCAACAGTCTAGATGGAGTTAAATACCATCTGTAAATTAATTTGATTACATTGTGTAATCCCTTTCAATGACATGAGAAAGTCATGCCATTCCTTGACTGTATATCCCCCACCCAATTCACTTCCCACTTCGACATATAGTCCATTTTAGGACTTGTCTCATCAGCCAAAAAAGCATAAAACAAGTAGATGGTGCCTTTTCTGCCAGTATCTGAAATATATAGTTTTTCCAAATTTGATATATCCAATTTTCTTAAATTCAAATTCTGGTCAGATATCCCAAAATGCTCGCTAATCAATTACACCATCTCCTCGGACATATGGCATCAAAAATTGTTAACTTAAATTTGTTTTTCAATTGGTCAAAGGTCATAAAACGAGTAGATAAAAATAGGTCATTAATGTGTGGGATTGAATGTGAAGACCAATAATCCACATCCAGCTCAGGTAATGAGGGTTCCAACACTGATAACAGAGTAGCCCTGGACCAGATAGCAGAAGGACAAATATTCTTATATAGGATATCCCATGATTTAACAGCCACTTTAGAAGAGTGCAATTCTAGGAACAGATAAGATTGTGAGTATAACTATTAGACTCCTAGGCATTGAGAATAAGGAATACATAAAATGTCACCCTGAGAGGTGAAAACTTCTATATATATATATATATATCTTCTGCATCTCTACAGGATGTGGAACACTATTCTGCCTTACTAACTTCCATGCTATTCACACTCCAATGCTATTCAGAAGTCATAGGTGGCCACATGGGTTTAGACTCCCTGGGCAGTGAAGCAAATCATGACTTGCTTCAATAGTCCCAGGCATAGCAAAAAGAAGAGCGTGTACCTTGGAGTTATTTAACAGACATATATTTCAGCTGCAATTTTACCTCTTTGAATGGTCAAAAACTATGTTCACTTAAAGGGCCAAATGCAAAGTGAGTTTTCTAGTTTATTGTTTAAGTGGACCTGTCATTCACTAATAGGCAAACAACGATAACAACATTTAATATGCCTTGCATGCTAGTGAAGTCACTGGACAATATAGAGGTTAGAGAGACAGTCCCTCACAACAGTAAGTGCTACTGAAGCATTTGTTGTTGAGAGTTAGGCAGACGAGGTAAGTACATTTACTTATTCAGGTGATTGGTGGCACCATCTTCCTGAGATGCTATGTGTTTGACCAGTGTGCCAGACATCTTCCCAAAATCTACTTGAACAAATCCTGGGCTGAACACAAGGGATCATGAGACATTTGGAATTTACATTAGATGCCAGGCTGTTCTGTGGTTACTAATTTGGATTTAGCTCTTAAAGGGACACTAAAGACACCCAAAGCATTTCATCACAATAAACTGGTCTGTCTAAAGTGGCCCTGTCCCTTTAACCCTGCTAAGTAAACCATTGCAGTTTTGGTTTGTCCAAATACAAAATAAATAAAAATCACTGTGTAGTAGATGTACCCCATATGAAAACATGCATTTAATTAATTATGCATTCTAACAATGGGGTTACATCTAAAAACAGCTTGCAAAACCTGCAGATCACATGTCTGCAGCTTTTGCAAGCACTTTGCTTCTAACCCCCGCCCAGACTTTCTGTGGCTGTCCAATCACAGACTTCCTATGCAGCTCAATGAGAAGTCTTTGCAAGGCAGGCGCTCTGAGATATTGCCTGCTCTTGAATTTAACTCCCCTGTGCTAACCAAACCAGGAAGTAACAAGACTTGTTGTCTGCTTGAATCCAAGGGGTGTAACCAGGTTAATTTAGAAAAAAAATTCCCTTTCTATTGAAATCTGCACTTTTTGCAAAATGAAAAAAATAAGAAACACTCTTCACCCATCATCAAGCTAAAGTGTTTTTTAAGAGTCTGGAGTGTCCCTTTAAATCTATCACTAGTGGCTGTTATACTGACAGCCACTAACGGCGCTTCCACAGCACTGACAGTGAAAACCTGGTTACATGACACGGAAGCTCATAGGAAAGGACTGACGAGCACTGAATTGGGTCATGCCTCCTCGATGATGTCATGAGAGGAGGAGAAACAAGCAGCGTAGAGGCAGGAAAAAGGTTATTAAAATGTTTAAATTCATTTTTATGGGCAGGGGCACTATAGATTTGTATTCCTGATGCAATAGTTTTCCTTTAACTGTGAGCCACAAATTGATGATTTGTGAAAAGACCCCACAGACTATGCAAGTCTTTACTGGCAACTTAGAATTGTTTGCATTGTCAGAGCTGATAAACCGACTGCCTGGCAATGCACAGGACAGCCCTGGCATGCTGTGCCCAGATCTGCCACCTCCGAATATTGTCAGGTATGTGATTATTCCAAAAAAATGTTCTCTAATCCAGATGGGCCTGTCTTATTTTTATCAAGAAATTTCAATCAGAAGAGAATTCTAATGAAGACAAAAAATTGGAGGATCTTAATAAAATATAAAGACATCCAGAATGTGTCCTTAATTTAAAACATATGGTGATATAAAAAAAGAAAGAAAGGAAAAATTACTTTGATATACAGCAAAAAACATATTGCTATTCACAACTCCATTTAATGTAAAAAATGAGAATATTTTGGCAACAAACATAATGGATTTTGTTTCCTTTTTAATGAAAGGAAAACTATTTGCCGCAGACAGGAAACACGTAATTTAACCATATGAACGTCATAGAGGAGATAAGTGGTTTGCCAAGTTCTGCCAGTTCATTGCATGCTCTAAGGGTTCTGTTAACTGAAGACATAAATGTAATGATGTTACAGAAGGGGCACCTTTGAGCAGTTTTGCTTCAACATGGATGGGAACATTTTGAGAGTTGGTCAAAATTCTTCAAGTTGAAGGCCAAAGCCAGACATGAACTTTGACTAAATCACTACATGTTGCTGTATAGTTTCCTTGGATTTTGACTGTTGTGTCTGCTTCAAAGACAATTGACAATTAAGTTTAAATCTAAAAAAATTCATACTGAGAAGGACCCTCAGTAGGTACCAGAACACCGACTGGTGCCAAATTTGTATTGATTTTCATGCCCGAGCAAGTAACAGGAATGGGTTAAAGCAAGGGTGGGCAACATTTGGCACTCCAGATGTTGTGGACTACATCTCTTATAAAGCTTTTACAGCTGCAAAGCATCAAGGGAATGTAGTCCAAGCACTTGGAGTGCCGAAGGTTGCCTACCACGGGCTTGGAGGGTACAGCTCCCCCACTAAGGTCTATGGGTGTGTAGCCAGCTATGATCAACCATTGCCATAATGGGTCCAGTTCTGTACTTGCTCTGCTCCTGTCTGCCACTAATGACACCCCAATGATGCTGGTGGGGTAGGAGGTACAACTCCAGCAGCGTTTTGTAGCGAAACGCTGCACATACACATTCCAGGCACCATGCCCACTTACAATCACTAAAGTGGTCATTATTATTTTATTATTTATATAGCGCCATCAGATTCCGTAGCGCTGTACAATGGGTGGACTAACAGACATGTAATTGTAACCAGACAACTGGACGTATAGGAACAGAAGGGGTGGAGGGCCCTGCTCAATGAGCTTACATTTTAGAGGATGTAATGGTGCTTGAAATAAACCTTTAAACAATCAGTCACACAAAATTGTTTAATGTACCGGTATTGTTAAACATATAAACCCAGTAGAAATTTCATTTTTAACATGACAATTGTCAGCAGAAAATTTATTCACATAAACCATTGTTATTTTCTAGGAACCGTGCTATAGAAAGCTTAGTTGACATTACCAATGGAAAATGTCTGGTCATCTTTGAATTGCACAACAATGTTTAACTCCTCAGTTATACTAAACAGTGATTTAAAAAATAAAAGCTGCAGCAAAATGTGATATCAACAACCAATCAGAGTTTGTGATTTACAGATCAGCTCCAAGTCATCCAATCAAATCGTGTGATTTGAAGATTAGATCTCAGTGTTCTACTGACCAGGGAACACATGTGGCATTAACAGCCAATCGAATTGTGTGATTTGAAGATTACATTTCAGTGTTCTACTGACCAGGGAACATGTGTGGCATTGACAGCCAATCAAATTGTGTGATTTGAAGATTAACTCTCAGTCCCTCACTGTACAGGGAACAGGAAATATTGTTTTAAACTTTCTCATAAAGTCCAGGACAGCTTCAAATATTTTATTTGTTATTTATAAAATACAAAAACGAAAAACCCAACAACCGCTGAATAGACTTAAAAATGATCGATACAATGCATATGCCCTTTGTAAATTATTATTCAATGGTAGAAGCCGGTTTTTGATGAGAGTCACTTGTGTCTAACACTCTAAACTATTACCTCAAAGATACTTTTCTATCAATTAAATTAAATTAAATTACCTTGGTGATTTGGTTGTTAAATTAAGAGGCAATAATTTATTTTTTTAGTTGAGTTTTGCAACAGTTAGGTAGGGTAATTAAAACGTTGTTATTTTCCTTTAGACAAATGTCTGTGTTATTTTTTTTCTGCATATTGTCACATTGAGTGTGGTCCCTCTTATACCAGCGTTGTGCTTACACATTCATCCTAGGCAGCTGTGTCACCCTGCTTTGAAATTAGATATTTTGTCACTAGCATACACAACACTGATGCACAGCGTGGATTAAATGAGTAAAGGCAGGGTTTTATGGGAAGACCCAGAACCGAGGCCAGCTGAGCATGTCGTCGTACTACATATGTGAAAGTAGTCACTGGCAGGTGACACCAAATTCCTTTTGTTTTGATAAGCACAATCCTTTTTTTTCTGGCATTGACAGATCTGAGCCAAAGAACCACGAAGACTGATTATCCTTGGCATCTGCTGTTGGTGGCTATTTTGGGTTTATACTGGACTGTTCCCACAACATTATACTGTTAAAAGCTGTTTAGAGGAAGCAGTTTTAACATTGTATACTGTTTAGTTAAAGGGATACTATAGGCACCCAGACCGTTTCATCTCATTAAAGTGGTCTGGGTGCAGTGTCACTGTCCCCTTAGCTCTGCTATGTCTACATTGCAGGGTTAACGCTGCCTCTAGTGGCAGTCTACCAGACAGCCAATAGAGGTGCTTCTTGCTGTGTCATGGAGTTTGCCTCCTTGAAATGATGGTGGATGTCCTCATGCTTTGCATCAATGTTTCCCTATGGGGAAGGCCTAATGTGCGCATGCGTATTAGGCTCCCCCTTGGCGCTGACATTGGAGGAGACGAAGAGGGAGCCAGCGTTGATGTACCTCAGCGCTGGAGTAAACTGAGTGAATTCAAGGGTTATTTAACCCTTTGACTGCCATGGGGGTCAGAGGGGGCAGGGGAACACTATAGTGTTGGGATTACAGCTTTGTATTCCTAACTCTAAAGTATTCCTTTAATAAGGTACAGCAGGAAGTTGAGTGTGCAGCAGAAAACTGCTTACCCCAACTTGCAGTTCAAATATCTTATAATTATAAACTTATGGGAAACCTTTGGTAAATTATTCATGAGGCGGTCAAGTCTAACTGAAGCTTTTTTTTTCTTATAAACTGTAGCTATACACACAATGCACATTTGGATAAACAGCCATTGGTTTTAGTTTTTAAACACAGAGCAGCAAGGTGGGACCTTGTATTGCAGTGTAGTTTCTCTACTCCCCACAAATAAATGAGGGAAATATGCAGCAGTCAAAATGTATGTATTATTGCTCTTCACAAAGATTGCTAATATTTTGAGTAAAACAAAAAAATATATACAACATATTTATAGGCTATTTGAAGCATTGTAACAATAAATAAATAAACTGAATAATGAAAAAAAGACCTTTGAAAATTGCTGTGGTTAAAAATTTTTTTTTTTTTTAAAAGGGATAGTAAAAACAAAAAATATTTAATAAGTTGGCAACGAAAGAGTTAACGGCAAGTGATATTACATAGCTGTGTGCTATGGCAGTCCATACAGAGGGCTGTTATTGGCTCGGTACTGGGTCACGTTAAAACCGTATAGTAGGCTGCGTCACGTCATTGACACCTATAATTGCAAGCAGTGAGATTGAACGTCTTCCTCCCAGAAGCACTTAGGCTGAGATTCACACCTTGGATTCACACAGCATGGGAAAACAGAACCCAGATCGTCCCAGAGAAAGAAAGAATGGGATATTTGCATGCAAAGTCTGGATCAGAACACCCTATCAATCACTGTGAAACTTTCCTGGTTTTCATGAAAACAGACAAGCAGACAGTCTAGCCATGTGTATAACAAAATGTCCAACAGACATCATTTATATACAATCTCTGTGTGCACCATCCACCAAACAGAAGGTCTGTTCCACTCTCTCCCTTAACCCAATCCCTGACTTCTTCAACAATCAGAGTGCGTTATGTAACAAGAATTTTCTCAGGTAACAAGGGACAAACATCTAATCAGGCCCACTATGCTTTCTGGGTGCAAAACACCTTTACGTTCTGATGGACAGCATGTGAAAAGTTCTACCTTAATCAGCTAAATCAATTGGTTAATCAACAAGAAACCTTGGGGGAACTGTTTAATTTGTTAACTATTCTCTTAAGTGTTCTCTTGCAGCATATTCTAAGGAAGCACATTTCACGCACTGTCCAACAATGTGTGTCCAGAAAACATCATTGAATTTGGCAACACTTAAGACATCTTTATAACAGTGTTTAGCATCATTGGAGTCACACACTTCACAGCACTTATACCGTGCCAACATCTGCCAGTCCATATGCCAAAGACTACAATTCTCATGATCCAGTCATGCTTCTCTGCCAGCAAGCTGTTAAACCGGAGTCTTTTACTGTTGTGCAAAGCCCTCACAAGTCCATATGTGGGGGTGAGGCGCACTAAATATTCCACCGCAATATTTCCGCTGATAAACCGCGTAGACCCTTCTGCTTCATTAACTGCACATGTCCTGTTTCTCATCAAACTGAGCAAGTTCCAAATTTAGGAACGTAGTTACAAAGCACCCCTCTGGCAACCTTCCTAAACCTGCCATCCTGAAATAAATTAAGAAGGGATATCTCATCTCCTTTGGCACCTCTCTTGTAAAACCATACATGTTTTAGCTAAGGCTTTTTTAACATTTTTCACATACTACAAATCTGTAATTAGAAATATACATGAATACGGACTACAATATTTACTGTTGGTTATGGTAGTTCATGGTCCAATACACAGGGCTCTGCCACTATATTTAGTTGTTTCAAATGTTTTGACCCTTCACATTCAACTTGAGCTATTCTAAATTAGCTTATTCACTGAACAGTGTCTTGGTAGTGATCCGATAACCGACTTGAGCTGGACATTTTTATTTCTAACTCTGCTTTCGTAAAATTTGAATATACATCATCAAAGCACCGACACCACTTGCTGATTAGTGGATAACAGCAGGAAGAGAGTTAGATTAAAAAAAAATAACATGATGTAGACAAGATATCATCAACTTCGTCACCCTCACTAGTTGCAAAACTACCATCATAGCTCATCAAAAATCGATTGTATAAAACATTAAACAAAACAAAAAGCCTAATTAAACATAAAATATAGAGTATAATAATCAACAGAATACACTTACACAGCTTTCATTACGAAAAAATCAGCACTACTATCCTCTGGCAATTATTGAGTTAAGCAGTACACAAGACTATGTCACAGAATCCCCTCTGGAAATATTGGCTTAACAGCCTTTTCCTTGAGATGAAATGAATTCACTGTTGTTCTTTTAGGTGCAAAATGTCATATGATTTTAAACAGTTTTTTTTTTTAATTTGTTAAAACCCTTTCATCTTTAAAAGGGTCATGTATTGTTGTCCACTTAGACATTAATTTAAGTTGACACATTTATCTGCTCTTTAATACATATTTTAAAATAAATAAATATGTATATATATTTTATTTTCAAAATAACTATTTTTTGAGGCTTATCATTGTAGTCCCTACCATAAGCAAATCTAGCAAGACAAGCGTCAATGTGTGATGTTTTCTGAGTCTCCTCCTAATTGTTCCAATAATGGGGAATGACAAGGACTAATATATGCTATAATATCTTGTGCATTGGCAAATTGTGATCTCTTCTTTAAACAAGGGTACGCATGTAAAGATTGTGGTGATCGTAATGTCAATCAAAAGGCCTACATGTTTTATAAATGTCCTGGGGTTAAAATGGGATGTTTGGCCAAATGCAACCCTTAGAGTTCCAGAACGTTGAGCTACGGATGTAGAGAAACACATTTACTAGACTAGAGGCACTCTAACGGTTAAATGAGACTATAATAATGACGCACACTATGAACTACATTGTTCAGTGCAAGTTCAGTTTACAAAACAGGTAATATGGGAGCTGTAGCCAGGTCAATACGCAAGCCGTAAAACAGCAAATTCAAAAAACACAAGGACATTTAAGTGTAAAAATCATTAGGATCTAGGCAATGCATTGAGTGGATCTCTGTGTGTTTTTTTTATTAAAGGAATTAGATTTCACTATTGGCAACTTCAGCTTCTAAAAGAACCAGACTTTTCTAAAAAGTAAAATAAAATTAAATAAATGCTGGCCAGATATTTATTGGATGGGGTTTGACTAAATCTGCAATCCACATCACAATCACCTAGAACTATTCAAAACCACAAGCAACACAATCTACAGTATTGTATCTTCCATAGAGTCCATAAGGTTGTCCAGCTGTGGTCCTCTAAGCTAGCTTTAACAGCTGACCAGGAACACTGGGAGCTTGAGGGCCATAGATGGACAACCTAAAAAAAAAGTATAAGAAAAAAAACAGGTGGTTGGGGCACCCCAGGAATAAAGGATTGTCGCTTCTGCTTTATCACGTTAAATGCCAAATGGTTGAGCAAACATTGGATTGCACTTTTCCTTTGTACACTAAGTTTCCTCAATGTAAGCATTTCTACTCTGCAAAAGGTAGGAAACTAATCTGCATCAAAAGTTTTCAGCGATACATAATATTCAATTCTAGGGCTACTCTTAAACTGCAGTCCCTCTGCTCCCCCTGATGGCAGCCCTGTCCACTCTAAGGGAATGCTTAATATCCAAGAAAGTAAGAATATGTCGCTTAAAAACACCATGAATTTGAATCGGGCAACTCAAGAGAACATCATCCAACCTTCCAGGTCCTCTTCCTGCATGAGAGGAGAGTAGACCATGGAGGAGATATTTTGGTATCCAGCACCAATGGAAAGGATATGGGTTACAGACCAGTTTGAGACACCAGCTTCGAGGACGAGTGGTTTGTTTGAGACAGAAGAACACAGTGGGAGCCAATGCTGGATATGGAACCAGTTCTCCTTCTTCTGAGCCCAAGCCCGGACCACGACCTCTTCCAGAAGAACCTCCAGAGCCCATACTGCCCAGAGCAGATTTGTCTGCAGTTCCCCCATTTTCTTCCTCAACGTGATCCCCAGCCTGAGGCATGGGGGGTATAGGGACCCGGATATCATCTCCGGCCAGCGGCTGGAAGGTCTCTCTCCTCTCGCCATCAGTCATGATAGCAAACGGCACCTAAAACAAACAAAATAAAACGCAGTGATTAAAGGGGACATAAACAACACCTCACATAAAGTCCCACGTTGGAAAAGGAGTGAGGAAAATAGGGAAACAAAAAGTAGAACTACATTAAAAGTACATTACAGAAAAGTAAGAATAGAGAAAATATAGTTAAAAAGTCTAAAGAGATAGAGTTATGGCTTAAGAAACAAATTTGATATTTGGAATAAATGGTTAAAATTAACAGGATATAGTTCAAGATGGATGAAAAGAAACACTATATAAATAAAAAGGACAAAACAGAAGAAAGTAGAAATCTGATGTAAAAGGTAAAATAGTCTGTAAAAGATGGACCGTAGAAGAAAAGAACTACACACATGTCAAAAGACAGAAATATAGTAAAAGTCAAGTGAAGAAGAGAAAAACGACGAGAAAAAAGAATAATGGCTAAAAGAGCAATAAATTAACATTAACGTATCTGTACATTGTCCAATGAATGTGCCTTTTAAAATGGAAAGACAATTTGTGTTAATTTACTTTTTCGCTCGTCCCCCCCCAATAAATTACACAGTGATAGAAAGGAGCTCTGTAGCAGTGAGATGTACTCTGTCTAACCAAGGGAGACGATCTTCTCTCGCAGGGAAAAAGTAAAGCGGTTTCTTTTGTCTATCAGCCGGCACTCCTTCATAATTTGCCAAAGGCATTGGGTCAGGAGCACGGCGAATTTTAGGTGGGTTGCCTATGAGTTTAAATGATAGCGTGCATAATACCAGTACTGATAACGTTAATCTAACACGATTCTGTCACTTATCACATTATATACCCCAACACGCGCAAGCACATGTACCAAAAGTGTGTATCTATCCAGGTATTATTCGGAGAATTATATATATATATATATACGTATATTGTTTGTGTGTGACTGTGTATATATGATGTGTGCACATTTACAGTACATCTAATGTACTGCACAGGATGTTTAAATAAAATAGCCCTGAATATTTTGACAAAGTAATCCACCTACAGAATATCAGAATAAGTAATACCCCAGGAGAATAATTAGCTTAAAAAGCAGTGTACATACACCCTCCCCCAACAAGTATGCCTGATCCAGTAATATAATGATCCTATAGATCAGACATATTGTGTGAGAGAGCTGCATTAACACAGACTATACACACACCATATACAGTTTACATACAGTAAATATACAGTAGACGCCTATTGTACATATTATATATTCTACGTTCTAACCCCCCCTGACATGTTATTTCAGGGAGAAAACGATTCCGTTTCCACTGCCCAAATTGTAAAACTGACACATTTTTCTGCAAAGTACAAAAAAAAAAAAAAAAAGGTTAAAAAAAACTACAAAAAAAACAAACACTTTGGTTCCCGAAGCACTGGGAAAAAAGGAAACCGTTTCCTGATGTTCTTGTAGAAAATACCATTTGTGGGTGGTGAAAAGTTGAGTGAAATCCCTTATAGAACCCCTTTCCATTCCAATCCCTTCTGGGTGGAGAATACCAAACAATTCTTATTATATACTCACTACATTATATAACATATACATTCTAATAGCAAATAGTACACTATTAACTGCACTAACAATATTTTTTGGGGGGTGGGGGTGTAAAAGATCATCACCCTCTTCCTAAATTGGATTAAGTTACCTTACACAGGCTACAAAGTATTTAACCCTCTGCTTGGCAAAATGGATACATTAGAGTGCTATAAAATTCCAACCATCTTGCAACTATTGTTTTTAGAATGGCTGCAAAATATGAGCAAAAAGAAAGAGAAAAATATTTTTAGAAAATACTGTGGAATAAAAAAAATAAATGGTTAAGCTTGAAATGGTTTTCATTGTTCCCAGGAAGTGTAAGGGTTTATGGAGCATCAATTCTCTTTACCTGGATACTGTAGAGACCCTCTAAGTAGATTTACAATGGTCAAGGGATATGACCATGACAAACCTCCATAACACCTCTGTGCTGTCACATAACCCATTATAGCAACTTAAACTTGGCAACCCATTGTCCCCTTCTGGGGATGGGGGGCTGGAATGGTCCCCTCCTGTACCTTAATCCCTCATCCCCCTCAAATGTGTGCAGATGACCCTTACCTTAATTTAACGGATTCCTGGCTCCCCAAAAGCATAGCTCACCTCCAGTTCACATGAAACCCCAAAAAAGTAATAATGAAAAGGCTGCAGAAGGGGGAGGACAGGGTGGGAGGGGGTGGAGGGGGCAAAATTCCCCAAAAGCTCCTCTTGAGTGATATAATATCCAGGGGTCCAGGAATGTAGGGGTGTCAGGTGTGGTTCTCTGGGGTGGATCTGTTCCTTCTGCTTGTGGATGCTACATGCAAAATCCCAGCTTTATGCATTCATCTGCTTTTTTTCTCTCCTAATTTAGTTTTTTTTTAAGGAGATTTCCTCTTGTCCAAGTGAGTAGGGCCAGTTGGTATCAGGCTGATCTCCACTCCCCTCTTTCACCTCCTGCTCTTGTTATCCTGGGGTGCAAATAGGGGTGTCAGGGAGTTGAGTCAAAAAAAAGCACCCAGACCTCAGCTCAGCAAAGCCTAACAGGCGAGCAGTAAACTTCTGATGTACCAACAGGGAGGAGGAGAGCAAAACTAGGAATGAGAGGAGGGAGGAGGGAGAGCAGGAGGAGGGAGTACAGTAGAAGGGAGGAGAGCTGGGGAGTGGAATGATGCTAAGGAAGGTGAGGGATACGGTTTGGGGAGTGGGTATCTCTAGGGTCAATGCAAGAAAGGTTCAGGGAATAAAAAAACATATATCTGGAACTGGACCACAACTCTCATCATGCTCAGTCAGCTTCTAGAATGGATTGCCTTTCAGCACTCACAGGAGGGAGGAGGTTAAAGGGAGGTGCCTTTGTAGAGAGACAGGAGATCCCTTGAAGTGTGTTGCTTGGACTGGTACTCACATAACACACAGCCAGCTTCCTTAGTGTGTTGCCTCTTTTCAACCCAAGCAGGTAATAAGGGATGGTTGGGACAGGATTGATAGGAGTGGTGATGTTGGGAGGAGTGTGTCTACATCTATGGCTGAGGCATGTTGTTCATTGTGTTATCTCACCATCCCCAATATCTGTTTTAATTCCTCACTCCACATTCCCCATGTTTTCTCAGGTGCATACACCTGTCTGGGACTATCACTGTCCCCTAATGGAGACAACCTGGCTGGATAGAGGGAGGTGTCATTGTAGATACACTGCCATCTCTTTTGATGTAGTCTATTGATCTGCTGCTTGAACTGCCACTCTCATAACACACAGCTACCTGTAGTGTGTGACCTCTCCCCAATCTTTGCAGGAGATAAAGGAAAGCTTGGGTGCGATTGATGACAGTTGTAGTATAGAGCAGCTGGATTGCAAGGAATGAGGTGCTGCATGGCTTTGTTTGAAGCATGCTGTGCATTGTGTTATATTCCCCTCCCCAATACTTCTTTTAGTCTCTCTCCCCTACGTTGGCTCAGGTGCAGACACGTGCTCTGTGACCGTCAGTGTCCCCTTATGCAACCTGGCTGCTGGGAACTATCACCATGCAGGCAGTAACGGGTACATGTGCTAGCGAGCATTGTTCCTTCGAGATATAATTATTATATATATAGATCACCCTTTAATGCCTCAGCTGTATATCTCCTTGGCATTCACCGCATCTCTGGGGGTAAAATCCGATACACACATTTTAATCCTCCTGTACCAGAATGCAGGAAAAGTGGCACATGTGGATGGATAATACAATTCTGCCATTTCGTAATGTTTTTTTTTTCTTTTTTCGAGATATTGTTGGCCAGCCTTTATTCCCTCCATAATGCGTGTACGAATATTCCTGTTAGACTGGTGAAAATATTAACACTTAAGATTCTATCCTGAATTTTGCACAAAGGCTTGCCACGCCTTCCAACTAAATCCAATTTCAGCTTCCCTCACCCGACAGGCACTTATGGGGTTAATTGCGCCTCTAATCCCCTGTATTAGGCAATTATTTATTAGTAGAAAAAAAAAGATCCACAGAGTACATCATGGAGGCAAATTTCGGACAGTTTGATGCTGGGAAACCCGCTAAACAATCTGAGTTCTTTGTTTAAAAAAAAAAAAAAGAAGAGAATCTTTAGATTTTGGGTAAAATTCCAGGAAAGCTTGTATAGCAATTGTTACGACTTCACACAACATATTCTGCAGCATTGTACAAATTTTCCCATATACAGTAAAACAGAAAGCTTTGAGATATAGTGTCCTGGGCAGGCATTGTTTGACGCAGGGCTAGGCAACTTTCTGCGCTCCACATGTTGTGGACACTCAATACTCTTACCGCCATAATTCTTGCAAAGCATTAGGGGCGATGTAGTCCACATCATCTGGAGTGTCTAAAGTTGCTTATCCTGGTCTAAAGCACATATAGCCAAGCAGCAGATGCTCAGCTATTACAGAACTCCCACTCCCATGATCCTTTACTAGCCATGGTTGTCAAAGCATCATATAAATTCTAGCTTTACAACAGCTAGTTTCTGCACATTACTTAACCCTTGTGTAATGTGAGGCACAGAACATGGAGAGGTAACAAGGAAGTAATTAAAATGATAATGTAAGAATGGTGAAATGCGTTGGGAGTTTGGTGGGCTTATAGGACTAAAGGTTTGCTAGCTTTTCTGTGGATGGTATCAGGTAGCTTGATGAAGTAATGTTTGGAATCAAAGCCTTAAAGTAAGACTCACTTGGTGTAACGTGGTACGTTTAAAAGGTGCAGGGACATTTTAGGGTTTGGAAGAATCATGGAGTTTCTAGAATGAACACAGAGGCGGCTGGTGACGTTTAACGATGATGATGGACTGCCCCCTTCCCTCCTGCCTTGTTGGGCTCTACTTATTTAACCCCTTGATATGCCATGTCCTGTTCAAAACCAGCTGCATCTCCAGTCATCAATAATAGAGAGATTGGAAACTGAAGATATAATCATGACAGACACATGTTTTTTCTAACACACTTATCAGTGGTCTTGACAAGGCCAACGGATTTTATTTTATTTTTTCCAGAAACAAACTGTGGGCTGCCCATCTGGGCCAGCCATCTCTGATTTTCATTTCGTACGTCATACATGAGGGATTATATTCAGAACAATCTATACTCACTTGAAATATGTAGCTAGAATTAGATCATTACTTATTAAGGTACCAAATTGTATTAATTGTCTTCCTGACAAAATATGGCTGAAATCTGAATCTTGATGTCCAGGACCACATCTCAGGGGGAATTTACAGATTCCTTTTACAAATGAGCAGATTCTCAGAGTGGATCAGTATATTCTCAGGGTCTCATGGTGTATTGGCAGATTCTCGTATTGTCCAGGATAACTGGTGACGTGTTCTCAGAGCTTCAGGAGAATGGGCAGCTAAAGTGTCTCTGGATGAATGGGCAGATTCGCATTGTCTCACAGTGGATGGGCAGATTCTCACTGTTATGGTGAGTGGGCAGATTCTAACGGTCATGGTGAATGGACAAATTCTAAAGGTGAATTTGAAGATTCAGTATCTTAGGGTGAGTTTGCCAATTCTTAGTGAAAGATTTTTGGCACTTTCAGGTGAGTAAGCAGATTCACTGTCACTGGGCAGATTCTCAAGGTTATTAGGGAGATTCACAGAGTAAATAAAATTCTCACATTTACATGCTCTAGAACAGTGTTTCTTAAAGGAACACTATAGTGTTAGGAGTACAAATTTGTATTCTAATGCTATAGTGCTCTCGTCAGCGTTTAGGTGACCGGCCCCCGCTGCCAGGGATAAAAAAAGGTGGAAGCTCTGCCTCTGATGATCTCAGCCAATTCAATGCTTTCCCACAGAAAAGCATTGGGAGGCTAGTGTGCATGCGCGGCAAAACACGGTGCTGCACCAATCAGAAGGTCTATCTGCTTACAACAATAATTTCAGCCACAAGTTTAAAACCCAAGGGAGGTGAGAGGACATGGCACCCAGACCACTTCATTGAGGTGAAGGTGTCTGGATGCCTATAGTGATCCTTTGACATAATTTTTTTCAGGGGCCAAAGTTTCATAAATGGCATTAACTTACCAATCCATTCTTAAATATTCAAATGATCTCAGTGATACATTCTTCGGTATACTATATAGCAAAATAAATTAGCAGCACGCCTTTGTTAGACTCATCCCAGCGTCAGCGATGCTTCTGTCGCACTGCTACAATACACAATTTATTATTGAATGTGTTATTGGTGGTTTCCTGGGGCATAACGGATCTTTTCCAGCCATTGGGACCTACTCAGAACTACTCACTATTTTTTTCTCTAGAGCTAATGCTGGATTTTCAGAATGGATTAATAAATTATTAATATTATGAATGAATCTCATGCTGACCTATATTATCTAGAGATATAGGATGTAGGTGAACCGTTATCAGGGCTATGGCAATTGAGAATGATTGTGCTGCACCTAAAATAAAGTGTCAGTAAATATGAACCTTTAATCAATGCCGCATTATTCAGTGCAATATAGATACACCACTGTAGTGGTTATGGTGCAAGGAGTGCCATTGCGTTCCTCCAATTTAAGTAGTCAAACAGTTTGCTGAACCTAGCGCAGTACAGAGCTTAGTTCATTGGCTGAGGGCAATCAGCTGATGCACACAGCTCATGAGCAGGTCTTACAAAGCATGGTGTAGATAAGTAGAACTAACAAAAGCTCCTTATACTAGCTTCCAGCTCTCATTGATGGAAATAACCATCACCCTGAAGATCTCAGGTAAGAACAATGCACTGTAGTGGTTATGGTGTCAGGTGTTCCTTTAACCCCTTAAGGACCAAACTTCTGGAATAAAAGGGAATCATGACATGTCACACATGTCATGTGTCCTTAAGGGGTTAAAAGACATACTGGTACTCAACATTAGTCTATATGCTCCGCTTTTTTAATGTAACATGCAAAGTCTTTCCATTTAATGATATTTATAGTATACTACAGAGCCTATGCACACAATCAGTCTGAATTATCAAATCTTACTGCATCTCTCCTATTCTTACAACTAGGGGCTCTTGTAGATTTTTAGGGGCCATAACTTGTGATGGTAATGTGGACATCCCTTGGTTTGCTGTGCATTGTGGGAATTGTAGTTCAAATGTATGTAGAGTACCAAATCTAGTGCAATATTAAATCTGTAAAATTATAACATTAAAATAGAAGAATAAGTTTAGTTTTTTGAAAGGTCCATCATTGATTCTAGATATTATTATAACCAAACTTAATGTTGCTCATTTAGCGAGCGCCTATTACAAATTTTTTGCCGCTCATTTAAAGGTTGGATTGATCTTTCTGATTCCGATATAGTACAACTGGAGATCTATCCAAATAGCTATCTCACCAGTAAGTCAATCTATGTCAATATATATATATATAAAATGGTATTCATTTAAATTTATTTTATTTTATTTTCCATTTGTATTGCAAAAAAAAGACCATTATGCTTGTGTAACATTTTAATAAATGTATCTCATTCATTCTCCATCGGGTGTAAATCAATAGGAGTATTCATAGTAACACCAATTAATATTATTATGATTGGCATGTATAAACCGCCAATACATTCCGCAGCACTGTACAATTGTGGACAGTA